CCAATTTAACACCTTCAAAGATCCAAATCCAAGGATGATTCCCCTCGTTCAGCCCCCCTCTGGACTCCAGACACCACAGTGTGTGCTATTATCATTGACTTTATGGCCATCACCAAGGTCAAGTGTTGTTTTGGCTGTTTGTGTGAGCGTGCAGCCGCCTGGGGAGGCTGAGATCAGATCAGAGGAGCCCAGGACTCACAGGCAGGTTCACAGAGGTGACAGTTCACACAGTGTTAAGTGCTGCTACAAGACTAGGTCACCTTGACATGTCATTTCCAAAGTTGTGCCTTTTCAATCCGCCTACCGAGATGCACTGGGATTATAGGTCAAAGGTCAGCTCTACAGAAGCGACCTCAGTTTCAATTATAGTTTCATTTTAGTCATGTTAATGTGTCTCTTTGGTGACTTCATGGCATTTTATCATCATTTTACTCCCAGAGGTTTTAATTTACATGAGAACAATGGAACATACAAATTTGGAGATTTAAGCTATATGTTCGCACAAAGCTGAAACTATAAATTGATTTATTTTAATATTTATCAAGTACCTCGATATTCTATTGAAGTGTTCAGTTTTTTTATCATCACAAAAATCTCAATGCCAAAATTTACATTTGAGAGTAAAACAAAATCACATGAATATAAGAGTTTACTTATTCATTTTTTGTTTTTTTGTATAAATACATTTGTTTATAAAATAATTTAAACCAAAATACAAAAAGTGACTAGGACATTTTACAGTGTAAAAGTAAACTTGTCAGTGCTCTCTGGTGGACAGACTCTGTCTGTATTGATTATTCCTGTTATTAAAATCCCTTGTGTGATCTTTATTTTGCTGAAGATTATCCTTCAGTTGTAAAAAACAACCAAAGGAATCAAGAATCCCCAAAACTCTTCTCAGAAAATCCTCTGAAGAACTCATGGCACCACCGGCATGAATGACCCCTAAAACACTTTCAACATCCCATGATACCTGCAAACACCTCTGGAGCCTCCTCAAACGCGCTCATTAAGAACAACACAAATGCCTTCGAGCCTGCAGTGGAACCTCTGGGATGTTTAAAGACCCGCTGAGGCCCCCTGGAGGCCCTCAAATCTTCCTCGGGCTCCATTTCAAGACCTCCCACCCCACTTGTCAACGCCTCAAAAGGAGTGGCGGTTTGTGTGAGCGTTGTGTGCGAAAGCTGCTGAATGTACAGAGCTGGGTAACAGGGCTGAGCTGAGGACAGTGAGATGGCAGCGGGGGGAATTGCCATGTTGTTCTCCAAGACTGAACTCTCAGCCCTTTTGTACTCGGCTCTCTCCAGCAGCCGGGGCTTGAATAGCTCTGAGGTGACACCTCCATGCTGCTTTAAAAGCTAAGTAGCACAAAGGTTGAACAAGGAACTGAGAGAAATGTTCACTTTGTTGACATCTGGGCAGAGAGAAAAAAAACATAACACTGCACTGAACTGTACTGTAAAGCGCTTTGAGTCGTCATCAAGACTAGAAAAGTGTTGTATAAATACAGACAATTTACCATTCGCACACCCCACTGCTCCCACTTGATGGCCACACAATGCACTTGTTCTTACTATGTGTGTGAGTGTGTGTGTGCGCGTGTGTGTCGCACAGCATGTGGGCATTTGCACAAATGCCTTTGCTATATAATTTAATTAATACTGGTCCACTCTTGATTTCAGCTTCAAACAGCTCATTGAAAACATATTGCTTTTTCATTATGTTGAGCTCATTTCCAAGCCTGTGGACTGAAGAGGGGGTGTGTGAGATGGGGGTCGCGGGGTGCTTGCTGCTGGTGGTGGTGGTGGTGGGTGTTCACACTGTGTGAACTGTGTTGTAGTGATCTCAGTGGGACTTTCCTTCCCTCCCCACCGTGCAGACTGCTTGACACTCCAGGCCCCATTTGCGCTGTTTGATAATAACACTTTAATGTGACTGCGGTGGCTGTTGCCAGTGGGACCACTGCATCTGCTATTCCCAGGGGAGACAGGAGGGAGAGGCGGTTTGGGCGGGTGGGGGTTTGGCAGCAGCGGCAGAGGGAGCCGCCAACCACAGAGACCTCACATCATGCTGCACCACATCCTGGGCGAAAAGAATATCTGCCATTTTTTGTTTTCATTAAAACAATGTCAACATGGCTCAAATCCTACAATCCCTCCTGTAGTATGAGTTTTTGTCTATGAATATGAGAAGAAGTCAAACTGAGGACATGAAATCCAACGATTCCTCCAGAAAATAAAAAATCTTTTGCCAGCAAATAATAATGATAAAGCAAAGGAGGATATATTAGAAAAATAGTGTGAGAGCAGATAAGCAAAATCAGCAGTGCTCAAATATGGATGAAATATGATACAGTAACATTTAAGCCATTGTCAAAGGCCAGATCGAGCAGCTATGAAATTCAAGAGCTGAGAACTCTGTTTTCAAAATGTCTTTCACTGAGATCCCTGAACCCACATTAGTCTCAAATAGACAGACAGCTATTAACGTCAAAACCTCAGCACAGTTCTTCTCTCATTCATATCTATCAACTTATTTACTGTGTTAAATGAGGAAAATCATGTATAGCAGCAAAATTGCAGGTTATTCAAAAATGGAAAGAAAACTAAAACCTTAAATACAATTTGATACCAGATTAGAGTATAATAAGGATGCCGAAAAAGACACAACACCTCTATCATTTATCCATATAAACTGCTGCGGTTTACACGTGCGGAATTCCCATTCAAATAATGTATGAATAGAAATCATGATAATCCCAAATGGAATTCTTTTGTCCGGGAATAATGAGAGGTGTGTTAATTAAATAAGTAGAGTCATAGGTGATGGTCCCGCTCAGCCTCTGTACGGCAACAGTCTACCTGCCGCCCTGTTATCGGGGTCAAGGCGCGGCTCGCAGACAAGAGGCTTAAACGGAGACTGGAGCCTTAAACACGAAATAAAACCATCAAAGTTCAGCTCTAATCCTCCGCTGCTGAGGATAAGGCTGATGGTTAACGCGCTGCACAATAAACTCCGTTTACTCTAGGCGGGATGTGTGTGTGTGTGTGTGTGTGTGTGTGTGTGTGTGTGTGTGTGTGTTTACCAGCTATAATTCAACTTTGACAACAGGATTTAGTTGGAAATTCGTATTTTTAATCACTGCTGCGCTGTATTCAAACACACACACACATCTTTTCCTCGACAGCAGAATTTTTTTGTTACAATAAATTCCTTACGATATTTGATGTCGACAAATTAAATCTAGCTTCACAATTTCATCCGAAAAGACAGCAGGCGAGGTAAATAAATAAATAAATATATATATATATATTTAGTAGAAGAAGAAGAAAAGGCCGAACAATTTGCAAAGGCAAAAAAAAAGAATGGAAAAGTTTAAAAATAAGCGAAGACAATTTCAATTTAAAAAATCTCAAGTTTTGTAAAAAAAATATATAAATTATGGAATATATGTTTCTGGTCTGGCCTGGTTTAATCCCCGTTCTGCAGATATTTAAGGTGTGAGGCGCGGAGGGGATTGAACCGCTTTCAGCACCTTGGAGAGCTCCACGTCCACCCGCTACGTGGTGGCTTTGAGACAATGAAGAGGACACACACGCGCACGGACACGCACGATCACACACGCGCACGAACACGCTTGAACAACTGCAAACACAAGCTACAATACTGCCACCAAAAAGTAATACACACATATTTACATTTTGCAGGATTATATTAAACAGTGTGTGTGTGTGTGTGTGTGTGTGTGTGTGTGTGTGTGTGTGTGTGTGTGTTTGATACATTTGACTAATTCATGCACTTTATACTTCACCGACTTTCATATAAATTTCCATATGTAATTCATTGAATTCACAGTGATTGCACCTGTTGGTAGTGGTCTGACATCTCTAAGTTATTACAACAAATATATTTAGATAAAATAAAGAATCTGGTCATGGATCTTTGAGTTGTATGTTTGATTAGAGGAAATAAGAATTTAGAAGTTTTGCGTTTTCTGTTTTTTCATATGGTCTGAACATCTAAAAAGAATGGTGTGAAAATGTAAAAGGTTTAAAGAGGATCAATTTAAATGTTCTATGCATTCTACCTGTTTATGTGGGACACTGGAAGTTTAAGTCATGCTGCTTTTTACTTTAGTCAAAATAAAACCATTAATGACTTCAGTTTAAAAAACATCATTTGTTATACACTCACAAAGCTGGATCATGTATTAGAACATATTTCCATGTTTATAACCAAACACATTAAGTTCGTCCAGGAGTTGAAGTTTAACTCAACGACCGATTGCCACCTTGTTATTTTTACGTTGTTGATTAATTTAAAATAAACTGAACCAAAAGTAAAAAGTGCATCTCCCACAACTTCAGTTTGTTTTCCACGACGCGCCTGGTTATTTAACCAGCCGGACAAGTCACCGGGTCCCTGCCTAGCCCGCTCGGAGAGTGTGTTCTCCGACAGTCCAGGCAGTCAGGGCAGGTTTGGTTTGTTAGGGCGCCCCCGTGAGACCATTTTGCTGCATGTGCTGTTTAAAGATTTCTGTTGTAGGCGCATCGTTTCTGTATTATTTCTGTGCAAAAGCCTATAAATATCCAATAAAAAGACAAGCTGTCTCTAAAATAGCATCAGACTCATTTTGACCCGTTCTTTCTTTGTGGAAGCTCAATTTTCCTCAACAATATTAAGGAGCTGCGTATTACGCACATAGACACAGGGCAGGGAACACGCGGTGCAAGTTTCACTGTCCAACTTTACATTTGTGTACTAAGTGCAGTGACAAAAACAACCACAAAAAAGTCTAAATAAAGTTTGGATTCTTGCTTTACACACAGTTTATCCAAAGTGGCACCCGGTGGAGCCAGTGAACAGCCGCGGGCAGCTGTGCGTGTGAGCGGAGTAAAGTGCTCCACTGTGAGTTCATAATCACAAGTGTGTCCTCCAGACTTTGAGTGTGAGGCAGTGTAAAAGCAGAAATACAGACAGAGCGGGAGAATCAAACTCACCAGGCAAAGCGCGGGCGTCAGGAGGACCACGGCGCACCAGCACGTCACCCGCATCCTCCCGGCACTCAAACTTCCACTAATGTCCCACTCGGCTGGTAGTTGCAAGCTTTGCCGACCATAAATCCACCCGGTGTCTGTCTCACAGCGCGGCCAAGCTCCTCAGCAGCCCAGGCGAGAAGAACACGGTGCGCCCCATGTCCGCGGAACACAGACTGAGAGTTGGAGACGGCGAGGGGGAGGGGGGGGAGGAGGCGCAGGGGACGGAGGATCAGTTGATGCTGATGCTGCTGCTCCGGGTGAGGGTGGAGGGGTGGGGGTGCTGTCAGAGGGTTCGGGGGGAGGGGGCAACAAACAGCGGTTAGTGGAGAGTTAATCCAGGTGGAGAGAGCAGCGGGGTCATCGCTGTGCGCGGGGTTCGAGTCCTGGTTGTCTGGCGGCCGGCGCACGCAGCGGACGGAGCGCTCCGATCTGAAGGGAACGGCGGAGCTTTCCGCTTTATAACGAGCGCCTGCAACACAACCTGGGAGAGTGTCGCTCCAGGAGGGGGGAGGGGGTGGACGAGAGCGGAGGTTGGGGAGGGGGGGTTCAGGAAAAGACGAATAAAACGCGTGGAGATCTGTGAAGGATGGAGAGAGCGCACACTCTCGCTCTCTTTTCTCTTCTGGTGGAGAATGAATGAGCGCTATTCAAACAAGCCCCAACTAAACCTGAATAAACAGCGGCTGCTGTTCACTGAGGCCGTTCCGATATGTGACTATCACCACTGTCAGGATCTAGAATGCTAAGAACATAGGGAACTTAGGCACAGTGTTTGTACATATTCAAGTTGGATGCATAAGTGTGCATTACACTGTGAAAAACACACAACATCCAGTCACTGCTCTTTATTGAAAACAAAGCCAATTCATAATAATAAATAAACATTTCTCAAGCTATTTTCAATAGAGATGAACTTGTTTGTCTGAATTTTAGTGTCAGTATGGTGATACAAGAAAAAATAGACTTCTAGACTGGAAATGATCATTTTAAATTTAGAAGAAGCATAATCTGGAACTAAACCGTGAGTCTTTAGGTCATAATCCATAATATAAGCATCATATCAAACCCAGTTTATTGCAGCTCGTGGCTGCATGCTGCTACATACATTCAGAGTATTTACTAACGGTTAATCTAGGTTTAGACATGCATTTGTGTGCATGCATGTAGAGTCCAACATGTACAAGTAATTTGTGCGCACGACTGTTACAGTCTGTGTCATGTAATCGAGTTATTTGAAAGAGCAGCAGATTTATGCTGTTTGTTGGTGTAACAGCTGTTTAAGACTTCAGAAGTGCATCATTCATTATAAACAGATATAAAAGGTGCTCATCTTCCTCGGCTGGATCTCAGACACTTTTCAAGCTGAACTCTTCATGAGGGGTTTGGAACAGAAAACCACTGGTTCTGTCAAATCAACCAGAACTGAAATCGTGAGGATTGCACTGTGATTTGTACCGTGCAGCTGAACTACTCGATTTTTCATGTGTGTTGAGATAATCTGATTTAACCTAATCAGACAGAGAGCTTGATGGACAGGGCTGTTTTAACCTCTCACGGATGTCAGGGGCAAAAGTAAACCCCCCCTGCTGATTCTTCCCTGTGCGACTGCATTGGGTTTCCTTCAAATCTAATGAGACTGTGTTGTTAATTTACGTATTTGACAAGTTACATCAGTGAAATCTTGTATCTTGTTGTTTGATCTTGCAGCACAGAATCCAGTAGTGGGCAGTTTCTGTAAGAGACACATTCATTAGAAAGGAGAAGTGAAAAAATGCACTTTAGTCAGTTTATGGATGTGTAATATTTTCTGAAAGCTATAGCCTCAGTTCATTTGGATTTATGTAGACTTATTTTTCTCTTATATGTGTGTCAACTCCTTTTTAGTTTCTTGCACATGTTTTGTATACGTCACACCCAAAGATCTAAATCACGTTTGTCTTGTAATCTCATAAAAAGGATGGGCCAAATACATCATGACACAGAAATAAGTATTTTTGTCATGACTGCAGTATTATTCTTAAAGTTTTATGGTTCAGTTTAGACTCTCACAGCACTTAGTTCAATCCTGTTCTGGTTCAATACAGAAAATGTCCACTTGACTTAAGATACTCTGTGTTTATTAATATTTCCCCACCATCTTTCCCAACTTTAACCATAACAGGATGTTGGCTGCCAAGTGCATCCATCGATTAATTATGATTTTTTCTTGTTATTTTCAAACTAAATATGTGTTTCTTTCATGTGCAGCGTCAGCATAATGTTGAGGTTTTAAAGCTGGATAGTGACCTTTACAAAACAGGGTCTCTTGATTGGCTCCGCACTGTGGATTTGCCACCTTAAGGTCTCTATTTGTTTAATTAATCGAATGACCACAAAGTAATTGCAACACAGTCCCCTGAGAGTTTGGGCCCCTGGACAGTTGCCTGCTTTGCTTGATTAGTGATCCAGACACGTGGTGTCAAGTTATTGTCTGTAAAAGTTTATCTCACTGCTCTTTTGTGATTTGTTTGGAAATTAAGCTGGGCTCTAAAGACGTTGTTCCATGGCAAAGTCCTCATCCACATCATGGAGCTGCTCTTAACATCAGAAACACTTGACTGAAGACTCTATTTTGCTGACCTCTCATTTCCCATCTGGACCCAACATTTCATTTCAAGTCCTGAAAAACCTCACCAGAAAACCCATTGTTATTTTATTCATTGAATATATTTAACTCAGAGAAAACATTGTTTCAAGAAAGTAACCACTGACTCCACTTTACCTTTTGTCCCACTCAGGCGATGGGGACTCGGTCACATACATATTGAGTGTCCTCCAGTAACCGGCTCCTGGACAAATATTTTTGAGGATACTGTCCCAAACTCACCTTGAATATTGTTGTACATTCATGTATTGAGCTGGAACACTTAAACTGGCCCAAAAGCGAGTCTTTCTACTTGTACCTGCTGTCAGAGCAGCCGGAGGCCACTGTCTGGAAATCTCTGCATACTTTGCTAGTGAGGGGACCTTTAAATTGAGAAATACTGTAAGAGGGATACTTGTGATCTTTGTGAGGACCATTTTAAGCATAGACCCTACAGAGTGAGGACATTTTTGGAAAGTGAGGCTGTTTGAGGGTCGAGACTTGGTTTTAGGTTAAGGGTTAGAATTAGGTTTAGGTTAGGGCTAGGCCTGTAGTCTGGATTGTTAAGGTTAGAGTAAGGGGCTAGGGATTGTACTGTCATTGTGTCCTCACTAAGATAGAAGTAAGACATACGTGTGTGTGTGTGTGTGTCTGTCTGCTCTCCATGCCAGCAGAGGTAGGATAGGGTGACCAAGGCCCACTCAGATGCTGAGTGCGTGTTTCTGGGCTGGAGATAGATAGGGCTCTTTTTGTCAGGGAACAGAAGGGGCAGGGAGGTGAGCAGAAAAGAAAAGACGAGAGGGGCCATGCTTTAATAAATCCCCAGCAGTCTCATTGCTACAACATTGCAGTGTTCTGGCATTGTCGCCATAACTCAGCCAGCAGGGCTGATGGGATCCTGCTCTGAATGGCCCAGATAGCCTTCACAGACCCAGCATGGCATGCAGCACCAGAGCAGGTGGAGATAAATCACAGGGGGTCGGCCGACTTCTATTGTGGCTGCAATAAAACACAGTCTCTTCTACGGTAAGCTAAAGGGCCCATAATTCATGATTAGCTCAGCATTCTTCCTTTTTTTTAAAGAGATTCCAGGAGGGCCAGTTTTCAGAAGTTGAACTGGGAGACAGGAAGTGCTGCAGAGACCAGTAAGGTCAGTATGAATGTGTGTGTGAATGGGTGAATGGCAAAAACCTGTGCTGTAAATCACTTTGATCGATAATATGAGAATAGTAGAATAAAAGTGCTGCACATAGATGCACTTTATGAATGTGAGTGAATGGCAAAAAAAGTAATGTAAAAGTGGCCATCAAAACTAGAACAGTGCCATATAAATACAGACCTGAGGACAATGCATTTAATATTAATACGTATTACTGTTATTAAACCAGGACTATGTTAAAAGCCAAGTGTCTCCTATGGTTCCCCAGGCAGAGGCAAACAATCGTGTACAGTAAAAACTTTAACAGCCACAGAGAATTAAAAAGCTTTTGCATCAAAATAATGTAAAATATTAATATGACCAAAATAGCTAAAAGCTTTTTTTATTTTTTACCTTATTAGTCAGTGCGGTTCATGCAGGAAGCAGATGAGGTGACAAAAGTGTATTATGTTTTACCAGTACTTTTTCACTCACGCCTTCTTTCCCCATTTCCTTCATTTCTCAGTCTGACAGTGTTTAGTCCACTTCAGTCTGGTACAGTTCTCCCTTGTTTTGTTCTATCCAATCTGTAGTGATTGACGTACAGGGCCCATCCCACTAATTTCATTTTCAGTCAACATGGAAGTGAAGAGCAGTTGCTGGGAGCAGTTAACATCCTTCATGAAAGTTGGAGAAATGTATTGAAAGTGTAGTTATGTGTCTGTCAGTTCTAGTGCTGTGTCCATCTCCTCCACTTTTTCATGGATGTAACTGGGTACATAGCTCGGAAATAAGACGATACCACAAGTCTGCATTTGAAAACAAGTCAAGGAGCAAAACATCAAAATTGTGATGATAGACCAAACTGGGAATGAGGGCAATTATTCAAAGGTTGTGATTGAATAAGGTTATTTAATTATCATCTGGCAATTTAGATGCAATTTTTTTGCTACATAGAAACATTTAGCTTTGCAACATTGAAAATCATTGGGTCAAACATAATTAAATGTTTAAACGCCCCCCCATGTGTAGAGGGTGAATATCTACCATCATGATGTAGTTTTAAAGAAGACAGAGGCAGAGAGGACACTCATATTAGCTGAGAACACTGTGACGGGCTGAAAGCACAAAGATACATGACTGCACCAATCTCCAGCAAGAATAACAGTTTTTTTTACAAAGTTGGGCCATGTAAAGCTTTATTTCCAAACCAGAACAACATACTGGACATTTTTGAGAACCCCTTGATTATGTTCAATGACATAATGCAAATAATTATGATTTAGTCAATGTTCATAGCAGCTATGATATGATTAAGGATAGAAACAGCTAGTTTAGAGTTTGGGTTGGCAAACTTAAACAACTTATAGCATCAGTGTTAGACTAGTTATTGTCACAGTTAGCACAGTTAGGGATTGGGTTATAAATAAAAGTAACATCACATGTAACATCAGCTGCTGGATTGTGACACAAAGGACAAACTACTTCCTAGAGTGGCACTGAACATTGTCAGTGGACATAAATCGTCTGCTGAGTA